AAAAAAATCCTCACCTTGTTTCCTGGGCTGCGAGCATCGTTTATCCCTGCTAGAACAAAGACGGACAGCCAGCCCAGCTCGGACTGCCCTCCCCCAGCAACACACCCCATATCACATTTATACGCATGGCAAATAACTACACACACGCACACTCACAAGCAGCCATTAAAGCTCCAGGAGGGGGAAAAAAAAACCCAATAAGAAATGGTGCAGCAGGAGAAAGTGGGTGAGGGAGATGATTCAAAAGTTCAATTATTTGTTCTAAATCAGCTCAAATTAGTCCTCAAAGAGCTCAATGACACATCACCTACGTTATCTTCCATTGTTTATGCAGAAAGTATTAATTTATTCAGTCAAAAATATACAAAGAAAAATAAAATCTCTCATCTTTGGTGTCTGCTTGTACAGCTGTGTGCAGAATGAAGCTTTACCTTTCAACATCAACACGGAAATATTATATATCATGGGGGATATAAAGGTCGTAGATGTTTTTCACTTGCTAATATCAAATGTTATATAAACCAGGGGTTCCCAAACTTTCCCATGCCATGGCCCCCCAAACAGCATTGGCTTCTGGCCGAGGTCCCCCCTTCGCAAACCCACAAACAATGCTACAAAATATGTAAAGAAACATCAACTTTTAGAATGTTGGGCTTTTATTCACTATATTAAATTAATTATTACAGCTGCTGAGCATAAAAATGTTATTAACTAACATGTTTTAAACACTGTTTTATATTCCCACTGAAAAAACAACTTTTCAACAAACTGTTGACCAGAAGAACAAAACAAAATAATCTAACTTCTCTCTCAAGCTTATCTAGAAATAACAGATACAGATTGCCCTAGTGGGTAATTTTTATTATTATTACTATTTTTTTACTTTCACCTGATTAACTCTAGGCTTAACTGGAAAGCAGAGTTGTCTGGACCTCACCTTTGTACCGTTATAAAAAGACACTGATCCAGATGTGATGCAACATCCTTTAGGACGGTTTTCAACGCTCTTCCATCTTACAAGATTAAAAACCTAGGTGATAAAGATCTTCTTTCCTGTGTGGCGTATGTATTTAATGAGCTGATGACAGGATAATGAAATTATTTTTGATTTTATTTTCTAACCCAACACTGCCCCGGACCACCAGGCTTATCTGATACCGTGCACGGGGGAGAGGATTGAGCTCCTGAAATGAGCATTATTGTACATTTGACCAACATGAGAAGAAAAGTAACTGTTCTAGAATGATCATCTGAAAATTACATAAACTTATGTCTGATGGTAGTTTTTTTAGATACTTTTTGTATTATTGTTTGTGTTTGTAAATCTGTCTCATGCATTCATTATTTTTTTAAGCTTTAAAGCAATTCTCTCCATTTCCATTGATCTAACAGGCAACAAGATGGAAGCTCCCATCTCATAAATCATCTCCCATAAACCCCTTGGGTGGAGCTGGGGGGTGGGGGGACACGGGGAATATAATCAGTCATCCACAAACCGAGTCTTTGTCGTGGATTCTAAAACACCTTCCAGTCATTTTAAACATTTTACAGATAATAACACGTTTAACAAGAAGACCAACTACATTTTTTGTTATTCTTCTAGACGAGAAGATGAATCCAAAAGGCACCTTCCCACACCGTTGCTGCTCTTTTTTTTATTCAGTATTGAAGAAAATGCACATCACCAAAAATAGAATCCATTTGGAAAAATAAATGAATAAACCAACGAACGAGGAGATGGAGTTGTTGGATGAGTCGCTTCTTCTTTTCATGTCACCGAGAGAGAAACCCATCAGTCCAACGGGTGAATGTGTCTTTAATAGTTTAAATGAGACAAATTGATCATTTAGGCCATGGTTTCTCAAACTTTTTGGGTTTGGGGACCCCCTCATACCACTCAAGTTTATTAAATAATTTTCTTCAATATTTGTCTCTTTAATGCAATGGAAATATTTGTGTAACATAAATACTTAAGACCGGTTCTTTACCAGACCTGTTCTGGGGGTCCTCCCCCAGAGTCTAAGCAAATTATATATTTATAGGTTATATTTATATATAAATTTTTTTTTTCATTTTCATAACACAATTTTTGACTGACGCTTTAAATTTCTAAGAACTGCAACAGTGAGTCCTGCTGTGCACGCTCGCTTCATTCAGCTGGTGCAGGCAGAGGAATGCTGGAGAGCTTGCAGATCTGGCTGCGATGGATGGATGGATGGATGGATGGATGGATGGATGGATGGATGGATGGATGGATGGATGGATGGATGGATGGATGGATGAATGAATGGATGGATTGATGGATGGCACCGCGCCGCCCAGGCAAAATGAAGCTGTTTTGACCATTAAACACGTAATAAATGCATAATAAACGCATAATAAACGCATGATAAACGCATGATAAACGCTTAATAAACGCATAATAAACGCATAATAAACGCATAATAAACGCATAATAAACGCATAATAAGCGCATAATAAGCGCATAATAAACACATAATAAACGCATAATAAACGCAACATATGTTTTTTCCTCTTCATTATGCTTTTTTCGACTGATGCAACTTATACGCCGGAGCGACTTATATGCCGGAAAATACGGGTATATATATTTTTTTGCAGACCCCCAATCACCGTCTCGCGGACCCCCGGTGGTCCAGGGATCCCAGTTTGAGAACCACTGATTAGGCAACATCCAGACCAGAAAATAATGGAGAAATTGAGACTGAAATTGAGGCTCTTTGCCATTAAACATGATGCACCTCCTTCTGTGCCACAAACTTCAACAGCAAAAATGTATATTTATACCTTATACAGGATCACTGGATCTATTATATACATTATCTTAGGAAACATCATTTATAGGTGTAATGGCAGCATCACCAAATGGTAAAGGTAGTGGAGTACATCTGTAGTTGAGCAAACATCTCAAACCATGAAAACACCGGATCACATTTGTTCTAGCAGGAAAATTGTATAATTGCCAATCAAAAGCTTAATGGGGCTTCCTAGGAACAGTACGTGCCTGAGGGTGGAACTGGACAAACAACCCAGAACAGTACAAAGACCAGCCTCAGACCAGATACTGGGCTGTTTGTGGATAAATCCAAGCAAGTGGTTATGCTAGAGCTAACCACAGCATGGGAGGAGAAGATAGAAAAGGCTAATGAGAGAAAGAGGGAAAATACACAGAGCTGCAGGAAGATTGCTGCAGGTGGAGGTGACATACCGATCCATCCAAGTCGAGGGTGAGGTCTTTGCAGGAAGTATGCTGTGCAAGCCCCATAGCCTCATCATTACAGGAGCACATACAAGAAAAGCCATGACCAGATCCTTGGCAGCTGCAGAAAAGGACTCAATATAGTTGTGGATCATGAGGTGTATTATGTTTCTTGAAGACAAGCAGGGAACTGACCAGTCCTGGTCGAGGCACCTGAGAGAAGATCTGATGTTGAAAGACCCAAACACCCTATGACATCAGGCACTGACGATGAGTCCAAGTGCATCATCTTAAGAACTAAATCATAACTTAAAAATAGATTTCAGTGCATTCCTTTATATTTTAGAATAAACAATGTCCTGAATTAACCTTTAAATACCTCGCATATTGTAGTCAGTGATTCAGCTTTCCTAAACACAACTATTTTCTGTGTGTGTTCTTGGTTGTCGTTCCCTTTCCCAGTATAAACACCTACACTGTCAGGACCGATAATTCATTCTAATAAAGTTCTACTATGGTTTAAATATGGTGGAGCGTCATCGATGGGTTAGGGTTAGATTACAGAAATGAATGGAAGTCAATGCGTTTAAATACAAACGTGTGTGTGTGTCGGTGTGTACTTGGCCTTGCAGTCTCATTGCCTCTGTACAGGCTCTACAGCAGGGCTATTCAACTAAACTGCTCAGGGGACACAGTTACTGAAAGCCAAGAGCTCTGGGCCTGGACATCCAGCAGTTATTGTCATTTAGTAAGTTTGTTTTATGGTTTAAAGTCTAGTTTTATTTAAAAATGAGCCCACTGGTGCCGAATTGAGCTCATCTGTGGGCCTGATTTGGCCCCTGACCCGCCAGTTGAATAGCCCTGCTCTATACAAAATATTATTAGGGAAAAAAATAGGTAGAGAGCAAAAAGATGTTCTATCATAAAAAAATCAACTCTGAAAAAAGTTAAATCAGAAACGGCGAATTGTGCTTTTAAAACCACTTAAGACATTAGCACCCAGTGTTTGTGTATTTTACTGAGTCAACAACTCAGTGGCCTCAACAGAGAACCATGGAAACAAACACAATAATCTTCCAAACGCATATTTTAGCACACACTTGCATCCATAAAAAGCTTTAATGCCACTTGTGCTCTTTAAAAAAATAGGGAATCCTCCATATTTTCTACCAAGTCATGCTGGAAATAAAATCCTTTCTGTAGAATCCCCTAGTTTTAAAAACTGTCCACAGATCAGAGCAGGTTTTAAAGCAGGCGGCTGGCTTTGTTCACAGCGTGACGCTGACAGCAACAGCTGGATGCTACAGGTGCAGTTCTGAGCAAAAAGATGTGACACGCTTTGTAGGTACAACAACAAAACAACCCTCAGTAGTTTAGAACGGTGGTCCTGTGAGATGCTGCTGGACCCAAAAAAGCTGCTTATGATCAAAGGATGCTCGTTCAATTACAGGACTGTTTGCAGGAAGCATCTTAAACAGCTTATTTTTCTTAATTTAGAAGGTTCCCTAAAATGCATCCTTGCTTTTTTTCATCACAGAAGAGAGAGAGATACTCAATAAGGCCGATGAACAATAAATAATCCAGCAATCCACAATAAGATCAACTTCATTTTCTCCCTTGGGGACTCTAACAAACAGTTACCGAAACATAAAAGTCTTTATTTCCAGGAGCTCACGTGAGTTTATGACTCAAACTGTTAGAGGTCAAAAAGAGTTTAGCTAAATGAGAAGAAGGGTTTTTGTCAAACTGATCAAAGCTTTAGAGCTGTGTTAACTCCTACCTTGTGGTAGAAGTGCTGAGTGGTGATGCTGAACACATCCAGGCACAGGCAGGCCTTCTTTAACCGGGTCTGAAGGTCCTGCAGCTGCAGGGCCTGCTGCTCACATCGCTCCTGCAGCTGCTGGATCAGAACTCGGTCCAGCTCCTGCGAACGTCCGCTCCGAGCAGCACCAAGAGCTGCCGCTGTCCTCCCACGAGCTGAAAACGTGCAGGAGTTAGGCAGCTGAAATGTTCAAACTTGGACTTAACGAGATGCTTTAAACAAACAACAACAAACTATCAACATATGTGTAATAAGCACATAGTAAACCGTGCTACAAACTGCTCTCAACTTTACATTTTTATTCCAAGTAAAAGGCTCAACATTGGGAATGCATATCACCCACCAACCCTCGTGGCAGAGAGTTAAATTCAGATCATTTCATGTTGAAATCCAACAAAGTTCAGTCAGGTCCTCTGGATGATTTCTCTTTTTGTTGAGACAGTTCGTCCTTCATCCAAAGGACTTCATCAGTCTGCAGACTACTACTACTATCCGTTCAATCGTGGTGGTCAATTTTCGGTCACTCGTTGGATCAACTTTCTCCATCCTTGACAATCATATACAGCTTCTTTTATTTTGACAAATGTCAGGTTTGTATCCTGTTTGATGGTGTCAAGCCAACGAGTTCTTGGTCGGCCTTGTCCTCTACGTCCGCTAACCATTCCGAGCATGATGTCTTTCTCCAAGGAGCGGCTTCTCATCACCCGACCAAGAAGGCTAATCGCTGTTTGGGGATTCTGGCTTCTAACGAGAGGTTTGGTTTGATTCGCTCCAGGACTTTGAGATTGGTGATATGTGCTGTCCATGAAACTCGTAGGAGTCTCCACCAACACCATAGCTCAAAAGCATCAGTTTTTCTCCTGTCTGATTTCTTCGTGGTCCATGTTTCGCTTCCATATAACGTAGTTGGAAACACAATGTGCATTTAGTTTGGAGACTTCATCAGTCTGCAGAGCCACAACAAATTCAGTCCCACAAGCAGCACATTCCCATAGTGGACCGAGCAGTTTGCTGGTGATAAGTTTCTGGAGCCCGCCCTCTCCCTCGTCAACTCGTCTCAGGCCGCCACAGCCAAAGTGGTTCAAAACATCCAAGTTCATGCTCAATAATCCAGGTAGAAAATCCAGCAAAGTTCAGTCAAGTAATCTGGATGTTGGTTTTTTTTGTTGTTGTTCAGACATTTCGTCCTTCATCCAAAGGACTTCATCAGTCCGAGGAGCCACAACAAACTGTGAGGAGAGGAGTTGACGGGGGAGAGGGCAGGCTCCAGAAACCATCTCGTCACCAGCAAACTGGTTGGTCCACTATGGGAGTGTGCTGCTTGTGGGAAACAGTTTGTTGTCGCTCCTCGAACTGATGAAGTCCTTTGGATGAAGGATGAAATGTCTCAACAAACAAAGAAACCATCCAGATGGCCTGACTGAACTTTGTTGGATTTTTTTACCTGGATTATTGAGCATGAACTTTGACCTTATGTAGAAAGATTTTTTAGTTGTGGTTGTTTTGTCCAAATGTAGTTGAGGTTAAACTCTGCACCTTAATCAGGTTGAAATTAACTATTTGTACAAGTACATCCAATGATTACTTTCTGCAAGTATTATTAAAATCTCTCTCTACTCTACTATATTTTGCTAACACTACAGACAAACAAACAACACGCTTCAGCACAAGTCATCTATCACGCAAATCACCCAGGGCTCATCAGTCGTTATAGATGTTTTTCCTCATTAAACACCATCAGCTCATCTTCTAAGTGTTTACATTTTGTAGTTTTGGAACGCCGTCATCTTGGGTGAAACTCCTATGGTGGCGTTAAAAATTAAAAACTAAAAAAAGCAAAGAAACTTATAGCTCCCGAGCTGCCACACGAGCAGTGATGTCTTTAGGGAGAGCTGCACACAGAAACGATAAAAACGGCGGCTGTAAGAGACAAAGAGCAGCTTCTGGTTGTGCCACAGCGGTCAGATTACAGGTGCTGCTCCCGTTTGTTTGTGTGGGTTCTGAGAAGAAGCCCAACAGACAGATTTGTTGTAATGTGAGCCGGAAGAATCGCTGTCCAAGGAACCCTCACAACATTACGGCTGCTGTTGCTATGACAACATCCACCTGCCAGGGGGGAAGGTCTGGGCCTGACGAGTGGAAAGTGCGAGTGCACGTTTTAAAGCCACAGTAGCAGCTGAGCACCCACTACAGACCCGACACGAGCAGCACAGTGTGTCAGGTGATCTACTCACCGGGTGACTGGATCTTGGGTGAAACCACGGCACATCTTTTCGGGGAGGACTTTGGTGAGAGCACAGCATCGATGTCCTTCTGCAGCTCTGTCCTCAAAGCTGTGAGGGGACAAAACATCTGCTTAAAATAGTTAAAACATGAGTTTCGCTCTTTTTCTGTTCAGAAAATATTGCTTGTCGTTTTGCGCGTCAGTTTTTATTTTGTTTGTAATGGCTGCTCCATTTTATTTATTTTTTTTTACACCTGATGACACAACCTGGGCTCAAATCTGTTGCTTTGGGGTTAGGACACCACAGTAATAATCCCCGAGCTACCACAGCCCCAAATATATCTTTCATATATCATAAAAATAGCCTTTTGCATCATATTTCAGAGAAAATGACTGTTACAAATGATTTGAATACGTTCGCAATGCAATAAAAACACTGTTTCTTCATTTATTTATTTTGTTCAGCTGCTTCCTTTTCAGGGGTCACCACAGTGAACTAAGTCGCACAAAGACTTGGTAATTATTTTTACACCAGGTGCTCTTCCTGACGCAACCACAGACCACCGAGCTACCACAGCTCTCTGTGTGGAGCAGAGAGCTGACATCTAGGGAGCACAAGGGAGCAGATGATGGGGGTTAAGGACCTTGCTCAAGAGCCCAGAGTGGGGGCAAATGAGGGTGGAGGCAGATGTGAGTGCTTCTATCCCACCTGAATTTTTAAAAAGCTTTTCAGTACCGGGAGTTGACCCGGCGATCTTCCGATCACAGGCCCACCATCTCTAACCTCTGTGCCACCGTTCCCTCCAATAAAAACACTGTTAACTTGATACGTTGCTGATAAATAGTTTATCGCACTTTAAATATTTTTCAGATTTTCTGTAAACTTCTGATAATTTTGCACTTTTATAAATTCACATTCATCAGATTACAATTTTGTGTTTTGATGCAACGAATGTGGAGGTTTATACTGAAGAGTTCTGTGCTGCTGATAATTAGAAATCCTTCATTTAAGATCTGGATAAATGATTAATAAAACGATCTAAGACAAAAATAATAATAATTAGAGCAAAGTCAGCTACAGCGACCAGAGGCTGGAGTTGAAGCTCTGTTTGGACCCACACATTGAGATGCTCCTGGTACTCAGTGTAGCCACCAGATGGTGCAGATTATCCACGTTTACAGCAGATTAAACATATTCATCCTGAAGGAGCAGACAGGGAGCTGTGGTGCTGCATCGCTGCTGTGTTGTAACAGTTACGTCACAACGCAGAGATGCAGTTAATATGTTGATAATGACAATTTTCACAAGATTTATGTTTCTTCAAATGCTGATTAGACCTTCAGTGAACAAATCAAACTCTAAGTTTTGTCAGTTAAGAGCAAAATAACAAAAGTTAAACTGTTCAGGAATTAACGGCAAGCTTTCATTAGAAATGCTGAACGAATAATTAAACTTTTAAATACCTCACATGTACTTAAAGCATTTCATCAGCCTCTTTAACTGTTATGTTCTCTGCTCGCTTATAGACAAAATATAATAAAAAAAAATCTTTACAAAGTGCTGGTAGGCCACTGAATATTGGAATCATTTTACTGCTGACAGCAGGTCTTGTAATAAAATGGACCCCCCACCCCAAACACCCCTGTTAGCACATATTCACACAACAAATCATGGGACTCGTGGTCAAGAGACAGAAAAACCTTGAACTCGATCAGAACACAAACCAACAGAAAGGGGCAGTCCTGAGTGGGAAGTAGTGTTGTGGTGACAGGCTGCAGCGCTGCATGCTCCTGGGGGGTCAGAGAAGACGGGATTTAAGCTCCAAAACCAGAGTGAGCAGACTCTGGTTCCAAAAATGCCAAAAAAGAAAACAAAGGAAAAAAGTAAGCGAAGGCAGGAGCACTGGGTCTGGTAGTTTAATATACTGTAGCCCCTCGCTACTTCACGGTTCGACTTTTGCAGACTCGCTCTATCGCGGTTTGTGGATGCACAGTCCATAATATTCTACAAAAAAAATGTACAGGACACATGATTGTCAACTTTAATATTACTCACGTGATTGGGACAGTACTAGATACAGTACTGTATAGTAAAAAGTTAATGAAAAATAAAATACTTCGGACAGGCGCTGCCATTTTGTAATTTTCTCTGCATAAGCCTCCACTGTATTCCCGATCATTACAACCACATTTCCCAGAAGGCAACAGGGCCCCACCCAGAAGCCCCGTTTCCTTCTGCTGAAAATACCAGAGGTAAACTTTTGATCTGCTCAGTGCCCAGCAGATGCAGAGAAGCCGCACTGAACCGACTGAATCAGAGCAGAACCAGACCTCCAGACCCATCGGTGAATCTTGAGAGCTGGTAGCCCGCCCACGTGGACCTCCGAGTAGATGTGCGTGGCCAATGACCCATTGGTCTATTTGAAGCTCAGCAGCATGTTTTTCACCTCTTTCAACTGGCCTCCGAGGACCTCCGAGTGGGGACATGCTGATAAGTAAAATTTAGTAGCTACATATAAGTATGTTGTTAAAATTAGTAGGTTTAAGAGTTTAGAAGATTGAGTGTGAGTTTCTGCAGGGTACATCTGCAGAAACAGAACAGAGTCGGACCAAAAACAAACCGAGCCCCAGGTAAGTAAAATTTACTAGCTACATATACAGTACTGTACATACGTTGTTAAAATGACGTAGATTTAAGAGTTTAAAATATTGGAAAAGTGTGGAAAGGGTTTATAAAGCCTTAGTATATATAAAAATACTAAAATAAACATAGCATCCCTACTTTGCGTTTTTTCACTTATCGCGCATGCGCGCGCAGGGTGGGGGGTAGTTTAGCACCCATGATAAACATGGGACTACTGTATATATAAGAAAGGAGCGCTAACGTGCACTGGTTTACATCTCAGCGCTGCGCAGTGATTTGATCTCGTCACCGTGTTGCATTTCATCTTTAAATGGGATTTCACACTCAAAGGAAAAAGTAAAAATACAATCTTATTTGTAAAATTAAAACCATTTGAAGAGTAACATCCATCCTTTGTCAGTGTAAGTGAAGAGTCACAAACCAGACATATTAAATTACTTATAAAAAATTCAGCTCCTCAGTCAATAGTAGTGCTGACACAGGCTGCTCCCATACTGCAGGTAACATAACACTAACATAAAGGAGAAAATTAAAAAAGAGGCTTGTGTCCTTGAATTAGAACAGCATAACTGTGACCTGAGAATAAACAGGATGTTGGCTCTCAGAGGCCGGAATCCCGACTAAACCGTTGAAGTAAGATCTACAATAAGGGATCACATTTAAACGATTCTATATCCAAACTACAGCAAACACGGCAGCTGCAGAGCACAATCTGACTGGGAAAAATGTTAAAATTAGTTTTGAAGTCTAATACATGTGTCATTTTGAGATGGGATGCAGTAAGTTTTCTTGCTGCAGCAGTCTGAAGTCTCAGTGGAGTCAGCAGAAACAGACCAGGACGACAAGAGGAGCTGCTAATAAAGAGCTGCAGGCTGAGTGTGTAAATCCAGAACCTCCATCTTCTTCCTGCTAACCAGAAAATACTTATTGCAGGGGTTGAATTCACACACACACACACACACACATGAACGCATACATACAATCTTTTCCTTTACATAATTGCACTTTATATAGCATTGAAATTTCAGGGGATTTGTTTGCAGGCATTTTTAATATTTTTTTACATATTTGGATTAAGGTCCCACTTTAGCCCTTCAATTAGGTCGAGGTCTGGAATTTGATGGAGACACTTTGCCACCTAGGACCACTTCCAGACATTCTTTTTAGATTTCCAGTTTTTTTGGGGGATCATTTCCCTGCTTCCCCAACAGTCAGTTCAGTTTAGAAGTTTAGTGTTGTGTTTGACACCAATATGTTGTGCTTGTTTTTCACCAATTATACTGTATTTTTTGCCATATAAGTCACACCTTTTTGCATAAATTTGCAAGTTCTGCGACTTATACAGTGAAGCGACTAATATACGATTTTTCCCATATTTATAACCCAATTTTTGACTAAGATCTGATGATTTCATTCATTCAAACATGGAAAATATTGAACACTACCATTTTCAGCTGCTAGAGGGTCCTCAACTGATATGGCAAGCCAAGTGTCTCATTAATAGGCAAAAGTGGCTATTAATGAGACACTTGGCTTGCCATAATAAGCCATTTTCGTCTTGCTCCGGAACTCCAAACATCAAATCAGCTGCATTTCACCTGGGCGGCCATTAAAGTGCATTTATTAAGGAAAAGTTCAACTGAGACACACCTTTACTATAGTGTCGAGCAAACAAATAATTGTTTTTAGGTGATTATCTTGTTAAATTCTGAAGAAATGCACAGTGAGTCCTCCCTATGTGCGCTCCAGCAGCCGCAAATCGATTTTTGAAAGCTGATTTGACCATTAAAGTGCATTTATTAAGGAAAAGTTAGGCTGAGACACATCTTTGCTATAATTTCAAGCAATCAAACAATTGTTTTTAAGTGTTAATCTTGTTAAATTATTGTTTAAGTCCTCCCGTGCACGATCCCGCGGCCGCCATTTGGCAGCCAAACAATTTTTGACAAAACACCGGCCACTTCTCTAGGTTGTCAGCAGTGACGCATAATAGATGTGACTTATACGGCAGTGCAACTTATGTATGATTTTTTTTCCACTTTATTAGACATTTTTGGACTAATGCGACTTATATGGTACAACATGTATGGCAGCAAGTATGGTAACTCTCTGTATTGTGACCAAACACTCTAGTCTTTTAATGGTTACACTGTGAGTGCAGCCCAATTTTTTACAGCAACACTAAATACACTGAACTTAAATTTCCGTCTTGCCATTAGAGCAGCCTGCAGGACGACCGAAACGTGAGCATACAGATTGACAGGCTCTTCCTGAGCTAACCGGACGGATGAATTCCATGTGTCATTTGATGCCTGATGCTCATGATGGCATCTCTTCTCTGAGAGGATGTGCTTAGTCCCGGAGGAGACACATTTCTGGAGCATTGAATGTGACTGTATTTGATGTGCATATGGCTGCTGCTAACAGCCAACAGCCTGAAGGGAAACACCACCATGTACGCTGCCAGTCATTTATCTGCTGTCTGAGCTACTTCCAAACATTTCACTATTGAGGCGACACCCATTTTACCACTGCGGCTCAATTAGAATGAGCCTTTTTGCTGCCAAAAATAAAGTGGATTTAAAATTAGGCAACAACAAATGAGTGGGGACAGGGTCTGAAGACAGAGATAACAGCCACAAAAAGTAGTTACAGATGACCGAAAACATAAATGTGGATTATTCCTTAAATCAGGAACACTGCCTGATACCTTAATGTCTTTAATTAGATTTAACTTTAATCAACAGAGTGGTACAACTCACAGTGAGAGGGTCGGCAAGGATCGCTGTTGCTGCTGTCACTGGACTGATTACTGGAAACTGACGAGACGCTGGAGCTCCGGATGACGCCCAAGGCAGCCAGGCGAGCAGCTGGAAGGCTGGAGAAACCTGGTGGACGGAGACCGGACTGGCCTGATTTCAGCAGGAGGCTTTTGGGAGTAGTTTCCAGAACTGACCTCTTCTGCTCACAGAGACCTTGACAAAACAAATCCCACACAACATTAAAAATATTGCAAGGAGACAAATAAATAAGAGTACCACACACAGCACATTATGCTCCCATCGACAAACATCAATGCAGTGGTGATGCATAAAGGTTATCAAGTTTTGTTAAATTATCTTGGATCAGAAGACGTGGTCTGGAAGAGCAAAAAAAAAAAAACGTATAAGGAAAGAATAATCAATTTAATTGCATGAATATCACACCAATCAAATTTTAAGCTTTCGTGCCAGTTTTACACACCAATTAAACATTTCCTTACTTTAGCAACAAATTCATAGGAGCACTATACGTTGACACGAGTTGGACTGTAAAGTTGACGTGTGCAGTGCAAGGTGGTCTGATACCAAAAGCTTTACTCTTCAAAGACTTAAAGTGCTACAAGCAAAATTGAACTCTGAGCACATCATGAATACTTTGAGGTCCAGAAGAGTAAAGTCACTTCTTTGCAGCTTGGCAACTTCAAAGGGTGGTATTTAAGGAAAACTGAGAGGGATAGAAGAACCCTGTAGGAATAATCTCTCAAGACGGGGCGGGTTATCTAACCTGCTTGGTCCTGGTGGCCTGTAGTGGATGCTTTGGCTGCCTGAATAGACTGGTATGGAGCTGGAGACGATTTTTGACTGGTTTGCTGAATTCTTGTCTTGGCTGCAGACTGCCTGGTGATGGCCCCCAACCCCAACTGAGGCCTAAGGCCTCTGGGCGAACGATAGAGGCCTCCAGCTTCCTGGGAAACACGCTGAGGGATGTTAAAGATGCAGTTAAGTACTGTCACATTTGCTAATGTCACTAATAGGAAAACTGGGACTAATAATCTATTAATAGACAAAACTATTTCCAGATAGGTAAATCATGCCCTGTGAGTAAATCAAATCCTGAGTTCACCGCTCACCTCTTGCAGGTATTTCTTCGACATCTCCTCATGGAAGCTCTCAGACTTCCCGCTCAGCCTTTGGGGAATGGTGCTGCCTGGAGGTCTGGCCCCGATCACAGAAGCTCCTAGAGGATAGAACCCCGCCTTCTGCATCTCCTGTCGATACTTGTCCAACAGCAGATTGGAGCAGCTGAGCACCGGTGTGGATTTAGATTGAGGAACACATTTTGAATCTTTGTGAACTGGTAGGCTGGAGTAAGAGGGCAACCGTGGCGGTGGTGTTGGGGCTTCGTGTTGGGAATCTTGTGGTTTCGCTTGCACGTTCTTTCGAACGTATGTAATGATTTTTGGTCTGATGTTCTTGGGCTTCTGGGGTGGAGATTTTCTTGGTTCAGTCTCTTTCTGTTGTGGTGTGATTGGTTTAGGAATTCCGCTGTTTGTGTTGATTTTATTTGGAGGCTTTAAACTTTGAATTCTCAGAGAAGAGTCACTGCGCTCAAAACTCAATGACCTAGTGCCCTGAGCTTTGGCTGGGGAAGCAGGTGGTTGTCTTTTGGGTGAGCAGGATGTTGCTTTTGGGGATGCAGTAGTAGCTGTTCGACTTGGGCTTCCCCAAGGCTTCCTTCTCTCCAGAGATGAAGACCGGGAGTTGACCGTGTTCTCAAAGGAGCCCTGCTTTTTTAAAGAGTTATCAAAAGAGAACTGCTTCTTTAAAGTATTGTCAAACGAAGGCTGCTTCTTGAAGCTTTTGTCAAAAGTGTTCTGTTTTGTTGGAGTGTTATCAAAAGAGCCTTGCTTTCTTATGGCTTTGTATTCATTTGCTGACGAAGTCCCTTTAGTACCTGTTGGGACCAGCTTAATCAAATCAGGGATTTCGTCAGCTTGTGTGCTTTTATCCATTTTTATGTTAACTTCTTCTTGTGACTTTGTTACAGTGGGTAAAGTTTTAAAGGTACAATCAGAAATGCAGTTCCCTGCTGTATTCTTCTGGGTATTGTGTTTTCTGTGCTCATCACTTACATCCCTGCATAAACAATCATTGTTCAGGGGTTGCTGTGAAACAACATCCTCTGAGCGAGGCATGGAATTCAAATTCATGTCCAGAGCTTTCTGGTGCAATGTAGTTTTTCTAGCAAGGAAAGACGGTTCCTCTTCTCTTCGAGAGGATTTGACTCTCTCAGAGTCTGGACTGCAGATTTGGGAAGACTGAGTCAGATCCTCTGCAATGGTTGAGTGAGAACCAGAGGTGTTGTGCCAGGAGTCTGTCATTTGAGTTGTGGTGGCAGTGCTCGAAATTGTGGAAAGACAGGTTACAAAGACATCAGTTTCAGAACTCAGCTCGGTCCTGGACACCTCTCTATCTTCAGAGATGCAAGATACAGTTGGTTCCTGCTCAACGCCAACTTGCTGAATGAACTTGGTCTCTTCTCGGCTTGAACAATCGGCTTTTTGTTCTGCTTTGGCTCTACTGCCCAAGGAAAGCTGCTCTTGAACTCCCTTCTGTTTTGCAACCTCAACAAAGTCCTCCCCTTCCTCAACCAGGTAAGCTTCCAGCTCCTGACACTCAAGCATCTCAAACTCAGCCAGCTCGGGGTCATCAAACTGAGAGTCGGTGCCCCAAATGATGACCTTATCTTCTTCTGCTGTCTCAGTCATTAACCCAGACAGAGAGCCAAAATCTCCAGTTCTCCCACCGTCTTCCGTCTGAACATTGTTTGCATTTGCATCACCAACACCCCGCTGGTTGTTATTCTTCAACTCCCCGTCTCCAAGAGGCTGTCGTTGATCACTCATTATAAAAACAGCTTTGAGTTTAGGGCACTCTCACAAGGAGTTTCAAATCAGTCATCTATGACAGTAGTTATGAAAACTCGGCTCAATAATCAGATCTCGATAATGAGTCTTAGATGGACAGGAAGAGAGTACATTGACATGTTTTAGCCAGTATTACAGGACTCAGAATGTTAAAGATCATGGTGAATTTGGAAGACTTCAAAAGATCTGGTGTTGCTGGCCTGCAAAAACAGAGAACAACAACAAAAACCCATTACCAAAAAAATAATTAACTGGTGTTAAAACCCTGTAAGAGAAACTAACACTGTCAGTTTCTCTGACTTTTGGTTCACAACTCTGACTCTTCCAAGCACAAACTCCAGCAGAATTTTAACAAATTTCAGACGCAATCTTCAAATATGACTGCAAAGAAACACCAAAACTAGGACAAACCTTTTGTTGCTCCAGTTTCTGCCATTTAAAACTGACCCTTTATACAAGTAGGAAGCCAAACTTTGAGGACAACATCATTAAAGGAGGACTAGAGTCACTATGAACAAACAGGACATCATTAAATCTGAGAGGATGAACATGTTCTACTTGTTTTACAAAATATTTTGAATTGTTGACATGAATGTCAGGATTACATTTAACATGAACTAAAGAATGTTTTAACATCATTGAATGTGGCACGGAGGTGCAGTGGTTAGAGCAGTTGCCTCTCAGTAAGAAGGTCACAGGTTCTCCTCCCCGTCTTTATTTAGCGTTTGAATGTTCTTAGTGTATCGTATTTTTTGGACTATAAGGCGCACCGGATTATAAGGTGCATTAAGTGAAACAAAACAGTCAGATAAGTTCAACTTTATTCAACTCATTCACAATAACCACATAAAACCGGTTCAAGCTCAGTAAGCACAACCAGAATTAATACATAAGGTGCACCAGATTATAAGGCTCAGCGTCGATTTTCGAGAAAATTAAAGGATTTTAAGTGCGCCTTATAGTCCGAAAAGTACGGTAATAATGGCCATGTGATCCAGAGCTTGCTCTGATGATGTCACTGTTGGTTTACTGCAGCAGGCTTTCTCGCCCATTTTCTTTTCATATTTCTTTCCAAAAAACACTTAAAAAATGTCTGCAGAATATTTATTGAGAGGATTCATGTTCAAGAAAAAAAAAAATCCTCTGATAAAACAAATCCCCCTGTGTATTAAGTCACTCCTGATCTCATCTTTACACTCATCCAGTGCCGGCTGACAATGTCCTTTAGCATCAAAAACCCACGTAGAACATAAAAAGTAAATGCTGCTTTAGTGCAGTTGTTTTTTTTTTCACCACAAAATGGGAAACTACTGAGGTTTAAAGGAAAAACATGTTAAACAAAGTCTTGAACAGAGCTCAAATAATGTTTTTGTTACAGATTCAACAGATAAAAACTGACTGACTATCGCTCCAGCTCATGTGTTTGGTTTCCATTGGTGTCCTAATAAATTCACTTCCAGGAAACAGCTTTTCATTTCCTCTTTGAATATACTTTGGCGCACACCTGAAACAAGGGGAGTTTTCCTGTTTCACTTGTGCACGCTGAATGCAGCGAGTGCAAAGATGTGTGTGCGTGTTTAGTGCAGACTTCAGTGTGTCTGCTGTGTCAGCAGGTGCTCTGCAGTGGAGAAACGGATAAATCAGGTCTCTTTTCACCTGTCTCGCCCACCACTTCCTGCCAGGTTTCACTCATTTCTGATCTTCGTAGATAGTTCTGCGACTGAATATTAATCTTCAGCAGGAATGAACTCAAGGTTATTAAAAAGAAACTAAATAAAACCCCAGCATTTATTGAAGGAATGCATATCGCCCTGCTGCCTTTAAAGACAGCGTTTTAGACTAAGAGCAACTAATTTTAGGAAATAAAGTTGTGAAGGAACCCACTGGTTCATCAGATATTTTGCTAACAGACCGATGAACAAACATTATGGAAACACTGTGTATAACAGAAAAAAGTCACAGTGACCTCATCAGTATTTTGGACTTGATAAGTTTTCAGAGATAGATCAGTCAGAGTCATAAAGATACGCGGAGCATTTACGTTCCTGTGTTTTGTCTGAAGGACAAGCTTGTCTTTGGCCTCTGATATGTAAAAATACACAGATGAGACAACGATGTGCTTGTTGTATAAATGCGGAGTCAGTAATCACACAATTGTTTTACAATTCATAATTTCTTTTGAACTATTTTTTTTAACTACGTCCACATCCTACACGTCATTCCTATGTCAAAATATTTGGCTCAACAGAAAATAGTGGAGGACTATGACATTTTTTTTTTTTTTTTAAATACCTTTCAAAGTATGAACTTAATTTCAAAATAAATTCCCTGTAGAAACAAACTGAGATCTTTTGATTTACTTCAAAACCCATTTTTGGTGGGGATTTTGCTTCAGCTTTGTTCTATTTTGGTCTTCTTTTGCTAATTTTAGCCATTGGCTTGCCACATTTAGCTTTCATTTAGTTACATTTAACTTTTACCTACTGTTCTGCCACATTTAAATTTCATTTTGCTACATGTAGCTTTTAGCTACTGTTTTGCTACATTTAGCTTTTAGCTATTGTTTTGCTACATTTGTCTTTTTGCTATACAATTTAGCTACATTTACCTTTTAATTACCATTTTGATTCATTTAACATTTAGCTACCATTCTTTTGAATTTAACTTTTAACTATTATATTGCTGCTTTTAGTATTTAGTTACAAATGTGCCACTTTTAGCTTAAAATGAGCTTTTACCTACCAATTTGCTACTTTTAGTTTGTGTGCAACCTTTAGCTTAAAATTTGCTACTTTTAGCTTTTAGCTACCATTTTGCTACGTTTTTGTTTTCTACATAGGCTGTAGCTAAGGTATTGCTAATTTTAGCTTTTAGCCAATGTTTTTGCTAAATTTAGCATATTCTGGTAGTCGCAATTTTTCTAATTTTTACTTTTAGCTAAAATTCTGCAACATTTAGTTATTCAGGTTAGTCTCAGTGAGACTTGAGGACTCGTTTACAAGAGAGACCTGTTTAGCGTTAGCTTGATTATTAATAAATAAATAAATAATAACTTATAAATAAATTATTTGGCTTAATACTTTAGCTTCTTTTACCAATTTAGTTTCAACTTGACCAAATCAGTTTTAGCTTCTTCAGTGCACTCAGTACTCAGCTGTTACGTGTTTCTAGTTTTCTCTTCGGGACGTTTCATCGCGTGAGTCAGCCTGACGGCAGCAAGTCGACATGAATGTTCTTCACACATCATAAAGCCCGATACTCTCCTGGCGTCACAAGACGTCCAGAGCGGCCTGACAAGTGATCATTTCTAAGAAATAAGCTGACGCCTGGTAACAGGCGTGTTTCTGCTGCAGCTCTGATTGCTTTGCCATCCCTTAAATTGAATTCGAAGTCCAAATCAATTCAGTACAGAGTCAAAGCACAGCGCAGACTGAGCAGGGCAGCAGTGTTTATCAGCACAGTGCTGACATGATGGGTATGATTCACTGCTTGTTATGTTTGGGAAGATTTAATCTATCTAGTATCAAAAGTGGTTCAGTTAAGAAAGTAAGTGAGGGCCAAACAGACTCAATGCAAACAGTCCAAAGTATTTTAAAACACTGCTTGCATCAAAAAAAAAAAAAGTCTTTCCAGTATATTACACCTGCCACCCTTAGTTCTGTGAAACGTACTTCCTCATTCAGAGTGCTTTAGAAGTTGATGGTGGATGCAATAAAAATCATTCAGAGGTGCAGTGAAGAACAACGCGTTCAGATTCTTCGTTAGAAAATACGTTTTTAAACGCAATGTAACTGATTAAAAATGCTAATGTAACATGCATAATAACGAAGCATTAACTTCTTATTCTTTCAGCTGTTCTCTCTTCAAGTGTCACCGCACCAAGTCATCTGACGCCATCTAACTCTGTCCTCTACATTCTCTTCTAAGCTTTCTGAACTTCACCCTCACTAATCTTTCCCACTTCCTGGTCCACAGTTTCAAAGACCTCTACTCTTCTTTCCTTTTCATTCTCTTCATTCATTACCTCCTCAAAGTACTCCTTCCATCTTCCCATCATGCTCTCCTCACTTGTTAGAACATTACAAATCCTATCTTTAGCAAGCCACTTGCGACCTGTCCAGGGTGTAACCTGCCCCTCGCACAGTGATTGATGGACATGGGCACCGGCGACCCCCGTGACCCAAAATGGAAGAAGCAGGTAAAAGATAATGGATGGATGGATCTTTAACAAGCCTAACCGGCTGCACATCCTTTCCAGCCTGATCCCCACAAGTCCATCTCGCTCTCTTTAGTGTCCAGCCTCCCATAAAACTCATCACACACCTGCTTTTCCTTTGCCACAGCTCTTGGCGCTCTGTCCCATCTCCTTATATTCCTGTCTCCTCTCTTCAGACCTCTCACTGTCATATTTCTTCTTGGCTAACCTCTTTCTTTGAATAGCTTCCTGCGCTTCACCACCAGGTTTCCTTATCATCCATTCTCTGTAGATGACACACCTGTCTCTCTAACTGCTGTTGCTGTAGTCCAGACATTTGGAAGCTCTTTCTTACTTTGTACCACCCAGTGTCTTTAACAGTGACTCTAATTTTTTCACAACATTCTTCTTTCCTCAGCTTCCACTATTTGGTCTACTTCTCTGATTTTAGTCTTTTTCTCTTCTTCACAACAACAGTCGTTCAACCCACAACCATCGATGCTGTCTGGCCACATTGTCTCCTGCCACAACCTTACAGTCCCCACTGGTTTCCTCTTCTATCCTTAAGTATCAACAATGTCCTGATGGTTGGACTCAACCATTATGAAAATATATTTAACATTGGACAGCCTTGACATAAATGAAAATAGAGCTTTTTTTACAATCCAGTTTGAAACAAAGCTTTTTATCATCTGCCACCAAAAAGCATAATCAAACACACATAAATGTCTAAATGTCACATAAACGCAAAATTGTGCAACATTTGTTTCTCTGAGATGCAGTGGAATGGAAAAAACAAAAAGTGGCAGAAAAATGAA